TACTTTAAAAATATGGAGCACTTCATGAATTTGCATGTCATCCTTGCACAGGGGCCATGCAATCTTCTCTGTATCATTCTAATTTTTAGTATATGTGCTACCGAAATGAACACTTATTTATTTCACTAGGAAAGCATCCTCACTATGGGCTAGAAAAACTAATTAAATTTGAGCTAAATAAGAGGGTGTCTTTGCTCAGAAGCAGGTTATTATTACTTTAGTGTAGATCCTTATTTGATTTTGGGATGATCACAAATCCTGTGACCCTGTTCTCCATAATAAAAGAGGGTCAAGCTTATGTTCAAAATTCACCCATTGTTAATTATTGGCTGATATTGACTGATTCTTGTGCCTGTCTAAATCATTTTAAGAAACTGTGGCTTTAATTCATGTTACCTGCTAATAGTCAGTTCCTTAGCCGATATACCATGGTGACTCCTGGTAATTTAGTAGAAAACAAAAGAATTCTAAATTAATATTGGGGGGCCTGATAACCAGTAAAACTCAAAAAAGTGTAATGGCATTTAGTTTTTAGGACAATGTTTTACTTAAGCATGCATACAGATAAGGACCTATTTGATTTTTCTCCCTATCACCACAACCTCATTCTCAGAACGCTGAATTATTTAAATAATGTGTTAAACTCAGATGCATGGAAATGTCTTTAAAATTTAATAAAAGGATATGTTTTTAGTGATATGGTTTTGGAAGAATTTAAAACATTGACACGTTTTCTAAATCTGAGGTCCCAAAGATTATTTCCTCCTTGTAGTAAATATATCTAAAGTTTCTGGTAGCCCAGGAATTTGGGAAAACCATTCCTATGTTTTAAAGAAACTTTACAGATGATGATTTCTTCTTCAAGTTCGAGGTCAAGACCTCTCCTCCCATGTAAATGAGGCAAAGACACATGACTTGGGTTCCAACCAATCAGCTAAATCAAAGCCATGACTTTCCTGAAGCACAGAGCAATAGGAGCTCTGTGTCACATTTCAGTGACCATTATCTGACTGTTCCAAGCATGTGGAACAGGAACTTTGAGCTTTCAGTTACAGCAAGAGAAAATGTCCTAGAAGTAACTTCTCATGGCTTTTTATCACATCATACCAGAGAAGAGCTACACTGTCCATCACAGAATGACATTGTACATGACCGAGGTCCCATGGCATTATTTGTATTGCTTCTCCCTGATAGATCTTAGTTTGTTGGTCCTTGTTACGGTTTGTGTCTAGTTGTCCTCCCAAAGCCTCATGCAGTCATTGAGGTGGGTTTCTAGAATTTGTGATTAATTCATGATCCAATGCTGGAGTTGTGGGAGTGAGGGCTACACCAGCCCTGGGGTAGATAGCCTGAATACAATGTCAGAAGTGAGAACAGTTTGATAGCTGCTGCAGCCGCTCCTCCTCTCTTCTGGCTTTTGCTCTTTGCTGTTTTCCGCCATCATGAACTGCAGCTCTTTGCTATGTGCCACGCTGCTGTGGAGCCATCTGTGTGTGGACTGAGGTCTCCACCAACTGTGAGCTAAATAAACCTTTCCTTCCTTAATTTTGGGTTTTGGGTACTTTGTCCCAGAAATGAGAGGAAAGTAACTGAGACAGTCCTCATGTTTATTTAGATGAACTCTAGAATATAACTTAATGCATTTCTTTACTTGTTCAAATAACTGCAATAGATGCACTTTTTGCAATTAAGGACCATTACAAATCCAGAAATTTAGATCAGAAGTGCTGCTAGGCAACACACTTTCAAAGACATAGGTATCTATAGGTGGACCAATTGGCTTTACAAACAAAGCACAAATATAATACGTTTATTACTAGTGGATGATGTTTTGGCAGTCTATGGAAAATGCGGCAAGATACTTAAAAGTATCACTGTGGCCACCTAGAATAATTAAGTATCCATGAAAACAAAATTACGGTGCCCTAAACATTATCACACTCACGAGTCTACAGAATGAACAGCGTCTTTCAAGGAACACAAGAGTGTGAGGAAAGAGAGGGACTATCTTGATTGCTTAAACAATAGCATTTGAGATGGTATCGGATCAAATGAATGCGTGAAAATGCATTGTAAATTCTCTTTGATTACAATGTTAAGGAACATTTACATTTTTCTGATGTTGGATTCTTTTATATACAAAATGACATCTTTCACTGATAATGCTATAAATAAAGTAATTGAAGCCCATGATATATTTCACCCTAAATTACAATTTTCTAGTAGGAGTTTTTTTTTTTAAGGCGCTTATCTCTCACAGTCCAACAAAAAACTGCAGTTCACAAAACTAGACTTTGTTTCAAGCTTGGGATTTTCTACTTTCCCTTTTCCTTAAAATCATCCCAGTAATTAGAATGTGGCTATGCAAAATCATTTCTCCATGAACTCAAAGGCATACTCTAACAAGAGAACAAATCTTTGAACAAAAGGGGGATCTGCTCTGGAAAGTAGCAGTAGTTAACCTGATTGCTTTTTAAAAAGAAAATATTAATATGATCTATTATTTTTTGATAATGAAGACTCACTGTTGACTTTCCTTCCAAATATATATAAAGTTATTTTTCTAAACTACAAATGAATAATTTTCAACAACAAAATATACTTTCTTATTTTCAGTTTCTGCCTTACTTCTATGTCTATGCTTTTAAAAGGGAGTGAATTTTACCCCACTAAAATAGCATAATTTCTTATTAGGGTTCAAAAGAAAAAAAATAGTAAAGTGTGGCAATAATCTATTAATCTGAAACTGAGGCCTTCTAGAGCTCTCAAGTCTCTATACTATTTATAAAAGTAATTAATCTACATGATGTAATTTTACATTCTATTTATATCATTATTCTTTATGCAACATAAACACAGAACTCTGTGATGTTATTACATGTCATAAATGTCATCATAATTTGTCTTTACACATCATAAATATCTTAGTTTGTGACATTATTACACCTTTGGGTGTCTCTTTCCATATTTATGGTAATTACATCAAAGTATTTACTATAATTATGTCATTTGATGAAATTACAGTAATTACTTCAAAAAATGATAGCCCATGACTAATGAATTAAAATAGCATGGAAATTCACATTAAAAATGACATTAGAATAATGCTAAGGATCTGAGATAACCCACAAGAGCAAGAAGATTCATTACTGAGTTTTTAACCTCCAAACTTGGTACCATAGATTTTGCCTTGTGCAGGATTTTAGCTTTACTGAGGATTGTGAAGTGTCCTGTACTGGCCCAGTCAAACATCAAGACATTACAAAAAATAAAACCCATTTTCCAGTGATATTTTTGGTAAGCTGAAAAAAAGCAAACTAGGACTTAAATAACTTACTAACTGTAACAGAACACAGTTCAGATATTCTTCAATCTGCATTCTTTTTATTTTCTTTGAACATGTTATTGATATATAAATGAAAGAGAGACAGAGAGAGAAAGAGAGAGACAGAGACAGAGACAGAGACAGAGATAGAGACAGAGAGAGAGACAGAGAAAGACAGAGAAAGACAGAGACTGGGTACATGATGGACTCATGAGAGATTTGTTTTTGTAGCTGAAATCCATTGCATATATCACAACATGTGGACCTGGAGAAACCCAGGCAAATATTTCATTCCACCTCTAACTCCAGGAAGTTTACATTTCCTAAAGGCTCAGATACAGTTCTGCTTATTTTTGGCAGTCTCCACAGGCTTCACAGCCTCCCCACAAAGCCAATTTTTAAGATGTAGCTTTCATTATTAAGAACACTTTTTCATCTAATGTTTGGCGGCATGAACACTCTTCCATCAAGCATTGTGGCATATCGAAAACTGGTGGCCAGCCTGTAATACCCAGCTGGACTGAACCACTATGGTGCTGGCTGTGAGAGGACCTGCTGAAGATTGTTGCCAACAGCATAAGAGGTAGAGCTGGAGAAGATGAAGGGAACTGTAAGGAGTTGATGATTTTCCTGAAGGTGTTTGTCACGCTGGCTGGTTTTCCTGATGAAGTTGGGTGTTTTCATCCAGGAGCATGTACCCTCGTGTTCCTGAGAATGGCTGCAGTTCACTTTGGGAGAACTCTGGTCCTGATGGTGCATTATTCAATCTTCTGGAGAATCTTGTTGTGCTGGCTTTCTGATATAGACTCAGCTGTTCTCATCACCAGAGGAGCTTGGGACCTCCTTGTAGAGCAGGATGACTGTGGTACCTTTTGGGGGAGCTCTGGTTCTTTTTGAGCATTGCTTCTTGGCTCCTGTGCAGATCCCTCATCCTGCTAGCACAGATCCTTCATTCCACTGGCACAGACTTTCTAGCTTCCACCACTGACCTTTTGGCCTTCCTAGCATAGATCTGTGAAACAGGCCTGCATGAGATAGTGTCATGGGCTCATGGCCTCCAGTTGGACTCATAGAGAGCATTGTTATGGGCTCTAGATCTTCAACTGGACTCAAGGAGGACATTACCACGGGATCCAGGCCTTAGCTTGGTTCTTTGGTCTTTGTGTGTAGACAGATTTCCTATACTCTTTCTGTATATGATTCTTTGGGTGACTATTATAAAATGATCTTATAAATTATATGTCATGTATTGTTCTCCTTTCAAACCCTGACTGCAGTAAGCATAGTTCTGCTTACATGCTTTTTGCTTTCCTGCTCTACTTCACTTTATATTTTTATCCTTACCACATGAATTTTTTCTTCCTCCCTGATATTACACCTTTCATATTTTGATCTGAAACATCAGCAACTCCTTATACTATGAGGTGTCATTCTAGGACCTGGGGGTACCTAAGTCAGTGAATAAAATCAAAATTCATGCCCTTATTGAGCTTATATAGAAAGACAATAAATAATATTGAAGGCAAAGAAAAAAAAAGCCCAGACAAATAAATTATGTAAATATTTATTTTGTAATATGTAGTATTCACTATAACAAAACACCTGAAATAGGCCATTTAGAAGGAACTCATTTACTTCCTAGGGCTGGAGGTTCAAAGTCCAAATGGCATGGTTTAGGAATGAGGACCACATGTGGGCTATATCAGCTCACGGTGTCAATTGCAGTAGCAGTGGTACACCAGTAGCAAGTAAGTACTCTCTGGAACTAGAAGAAAAAGGAGGAAAGGG